TTTCTGCAAAAGCAATAAGAATATACAAATTAATTTTAGAGATCACAAAATTGCTATTCCTTTTTAGAGGAAGAGCTGTCTTCTACTGATCGCCTGTATGCAAAATTATCTTAATGATATCTTCTTTCATCTTAGTATTCTCCCTTGAGCGGTTTGAGTGCTCTCTGGTTCTCTTTGGTTGCAGCTAAATATTTCAAGTGGGTGTCAGAAACGTTGTGGATTTTCACTTGTCTCCTTTTAGTTCCAAGAGTTTCTTTGATGGGGGCTAGTGATATCTTTTCACAATGCACACTATAAACCAGCAGTTCCCAACCTTTTTCTTTACATTTTATTTTTTGAAGGTTTTTTTAATGACCATGACTTTCTCCTTTTCTGCCACTTCTCTGCTGCTGCCCAGGAGCTCTCCTATCCCTAGGTGCACAGCTGGGCTGCTCCTATGAGTATCTCCAGCCTTCTTCCTTCATTCTTTCCCTGTCCCTTTGGCACTCTGTGCTTCCCAGGGGCAGGAGGGATTTAAGGGAGCAGGTCAGAGGGTTGGAGAAAGGAGGGTTCATTTGCAGCATTAGCACCTTTCTTAGCTAGCCTGTGTCCACAGTTAATGTGCCCAGCAGAGCTCAGCAGCTTGTGTCCTGCTCAGCAGTTTATCTTGTACGTTGACATGTCTCTCGGCTAAGGCACATATCAGGTAGAAACCACTAGTATAAATAAGGACGAGAAAAGAACCAGTCTTTTATAAGATACCTGCTTTTTCTTGCTGGCTGTTGTACAAGACGTTCCATGATCTCTAACAATCTGCAATTGTGTATTCACTTTCAGCTAGAAATATAGCTGTCCCATTTGGAAAATATTATTATAAACACTGGTGTTATCCAAGAGACTCTATTTGTCTAATCAGTTGAGTTGTCAGGTTGAGTTAGCAAATCCATTTGTATGAATCAAAGAGCAGCCTGTGGCTCTGGTGTATTTGTTTATGATATTTGTTAAGTATGCATGCTGGATAGTTTGGATGTAGACATTACGATGCCTTTGCTATAGTCCCATGAAATTCAAAACCACATAAGTCATCCTCTTGAAAACAATGCTGCAAGGATGAGAAAAAAATGTAGATTCTACATTGGCTTTGGGTGGCAGATCATTTTTTGAGAAACTTGTTTAACATTATAGCTAGTGGGTGCTGGGCATTGTAGAGCCAGGTGTTATTGCTTCGTCAGAAGGTAAATTAATCAAAATGGTAGTAATCCATTACACAGCCCTTAATGTATTAAGAGACATTGTATGTGCTTGTAACTGTCTTAAGGGGTGTGTAACAGCCATCCTTTAAGGAAAAGCTTATAGTGATTTGCTGTACTCCTTCATGGCATGTATACCTTCATCTCATTCATCATTAAAAAAGGCTACAGCGAATGAAGGTAAAAGGCAAAAAAGTAGTTGAAGATTGGTATGCAGTTATCAACCTGTTGGCACTATTTTGCTGTGTTGTGTGCATGCTCATACAGCCCTTTAGTATGTGCTTGTGGTTTGCAAAGGCTAGCTAGGTTTATTTGTCAATAAAAATCAGTAGTATTTTTGTGTAACTTTACACTTTGTTCATAAACCTTCTGTATCCTTGCAGACTCTTAAGACTGTTTAAAAACAGCATCAATAGTGATGATTGATCACTATTTAGAGATACCTCATTTTAAAGAATAATCTTGCTTAGCAAGCGAGTCTGTAGTGATTACTCTTGGGATAGATAAGTACAAGACAAGTAGGGAGAGAGTGGTTCAGGGTAAAGTATAAACAGCAGAATGAAAATTTACTAAATATATTACTTTGTTAATACATATGGTTCTTCTGCATATCTTCAGTTTAAAGAAAAACATATGCAAACTTTCTAATTTGATCAACTGATTTCTCCATGGCAATGGACTTGAATTTTAATAGCAGCAGTGAATAATTACTTTAAATGGAGGAAATTATCCTTTCTGTGAAAGAACGCTTATTTCCTTCTCTCTTTCCCCATCACTTTCCTCATCCCTTTAAAAAACAAAAAAAAAACCAAAATGAAACTTTTCCCCAAATGCAAATTACACATGTTATTACTGCAAAATTATAGCAAAGGATTGAATTCCAAGTTTCCTCCAAGAGAGAATTATAAAGCAACTATTCTAAAGCAAATTAAATTTTAGTTATTCCCCAGCCTTCTGGAAGCTATGAAATCCTGTCTTTTGGAAGCAGCCATCTTTTCATCTATGCATCTTCAAGCCTGTCATCCCATCCCCCTGCACTTCCCATTTTGGTTCGTCAAAAATATTCAGCAGTCAGCATGATCCTCAGGATTATATTTGGTTTGTTGAACAAGTATTTTCCAACTGTTGCAGATTGCATTATTTGCTACTCTTCCTGCATCTCTAGGTCTGCAATTGAACTGCATTTTCTTGCTCAAAATGGATGTATTGTGAGCTGCCTTGTAGCGTGAGCAGGTGAATATACCGCTCAGTCCGATAAGTCTCTGAATAATTTCTGTTAGTGTTGTGCATATGACTGAGGCTCTGAGGTTGAGCTTTTGCAGGCAATGATGCCCCTGCCCCCCTCCCTCTCCCCCCAGCCCTTGTGCCACCCACACTGGCTGTAGCCACGTTCATCCCCAGGCAGCTCGCACTGCAAAGGTACCTCCAGGCAGTTTAGCAAGCGTTCCTTGTTGCCGCTAATGCCCGGAGGTGGAAAAGCACTCAGCATCTCACAGATACGAAACTAATGATTTTTAAATCTAACATGGCCGAGTTGTCATGGCAATTATCAAATGAATGTTCTTATTTCCTGTAAAGATGAGTTTTATAATACTCTAAGCAACAATTTAAGTGACTACTTTGTGCAGGCTGTCTAGCCAAACAAGCTGTAAAAGAAGCTAAGTGCCAATTAAAGCATTGGGAAGAACCTCTCTTGCATGAACTCAGCAAGGCACTGTAGCGTACATAATATCTCTTATACAAATTCTGAAATGCTGCCTTTCATTTCCCATATGCCACAGGAACACCTGGGTTATTGGACCCAGGATATTCCTGTGGAAAATCAACAATGGCATGCTTTTGGAAAATTACCCAGTTTATTTTTAATGTAGTTGTTCCAAACCATGTTAAGAACATACTGAATGAAAGGCTTTTGAAATTTATCCCACTGGTAGCATTAAACGATAGAGAAGATCAACAGAATGGTTTGCTGTTAATTATGTATTTACTGTTTCCAAGGAGGAAGTGTTTAGTAGCTTTGGAATCAAATGCTATCACTCCTCCAAGACAAGGTTTTAAGCAATTGGGCTGATTATACTTCCCAAAGTTTACATGTACTGCATTTCTTATATTTCCTTATGTTTAAATCAGTTGTATTGTGGGAGACAACAAATAAATGTTTTTTTCCCATTTACTTTCCGCAGACTTCTATCTCTTTGCGCACGCACATACCCAAATTCTCTCTGTAGTTTCTCCAGGGGGTTATAACAGCAAGGCTTCTTCCCTCTGGAAACATATACAACTTTGCTGAATTAATAAAAACACGGAAAAGGAGAACCAGTAGCAGATGCAGTAGGTAAACCACTGCTAACCATTGAACTTAAATTACTTTCTAAATTTTTATTTTGACAATGTTCACACTTTCTAGCATTTTTAACTCTGCTCCACTGTTTATTTTATTTTCACTTGTCAAAGGCATTGGTTTTGTTGCTTTGTTTTTCTCATCTCACAGGACTGTTTTTACTGTGTTGCCTCTGTGGAAAGTAAATTCCTTCAAGAGGCCAGCATCAGGTTATCCTGCTGCTGCCTTCAGCTCCATCTCCTCTACTGAACAGTGGGAGTGAAGGCTTACCAGCCTTTTCAACTTACTCATATTCAGTTTCCAGTGGGCAAACATTAAGTAGAAGCACCAAGTCAGCTTTCGGAATAAGGGATAGCTTTGCAAGCAGCGTTGAGATCCAGACCATCTTCTCTTTTATATAAGGAAGTAACTTGCCCTGGTTTACCTGATGCAAAATAAAGTTGATATTCCTCTTTCTTCCCCTGACAAAATGTCTCACTCAAGCTGTATTCCTGTACACTCAGGAAAATGAGGAAAGAATGTGTCAGGAGCTTGAAGAGAAACAAAGGCAAGATACAAAATATTAAAGGAATGGTTCCTCTGTTTAAGGGACAAAAAAAATATGCTGTGGGATAGTTGTAATGCATAAATGAAAGCAAGATCTAAAATGCTAGTTCCCTTTGTTAGAAATGTTGGAGAAAAAATTCCCCCATTTATCACAGATTGAAACACGGTGTTCTGAAACCCCTGTGTGTAGCTGAGCCACTTGGGACAGTAAGTGTGCAACACACAAGGCTGCTGATACTCTATAAAATTGCGTTAGACTCCAGCTAGTATTTTTCTGCAAGGGTTTCAGGGTGCAGCCTGTACTTTCTTCTTTGCAATTTTCTATTAAAACAGTTTGGTTCATAATCCCTGCTCTACTACTTTTATCTGCTTAGTGTATTCTTTGGAAAGTGGGAAGGAAAAAGAGAATCCAGATGGTCTTGCTTGGCCGGATCATCTTCAGAGTAGATCTAGGAATCTTGGGAATACCTCCCGAAGACACAAGTATCCTGCGATATTCTGGAGGTATGCTGAACTCTTTTATATCCTCCTCAGCACAGCTGTGGCTTTTTGGTCTCTGGAAGAACACCTGAATTCTAAAGCTACCCCAGTTATCTGTTAAAAACTCTACTTATCTTCTGTTTAAGCAAAATGCTCTGACATTTCATCTTCATGATTCCAGTAGGAAGTTCTTCTGTGTCTCTCAGTCGCTATATCAGCTGCGAGACTTTGTTATCAGAGAGGGCAGGTTTGTAACCTTTTTTTCTTGGTTTTGCTATTATTTTGTCTTTCACATTTACAGCAGTTCAATGTCAATGATCAAATTCTTTCCAAACACAGCTTGGCAATGGCCATTAAACTGGAAATATGTTTAGTATTTAAAAAATAGAAAAGTAACAGCCTGTTTATTTTTCACTATCTAGAAAATGAAGAAAGCTAAAGAAGTGCTATCAAATATTTGGAATAAATGTGGAGAACAGAAGTCATGGTAGATATTTCATTTATAACAACAGCCATGTGATCAGAATGCATGAAAAATTACAACCCGAATAGGGGCCACAATCTTAGTAAGTGTTTTTGTGAGGTTTTTTTGAAAATAAGACTTGACTTGAAATCTTATATGTGCTTTTCCTGGAAACAGCAAATTTTATTTGGTAACAAGACATTTACCAGCATTTAGGATATCTAAAACTTTATGCCAGGATGAACTCTGTTGTGGGAGAGCTGAAAAAGAACTAAATTGGTCTTGCTTTTTTCCAGGTCATCCTGTCTATGTAGTTCTTGATTATGTTAATTCAAGTTTTTTCCTGGGCAAGCTAAGAGTAGAGATAATGTCTCTTTTACTCTTCCAGATTCCAAAGTATCTTTCTTTCTCTCATCTGCAACAATTTTTCAGGTTCTTGCCTTATTCATTGCTCGAAGTGCTTTGGGTTCCATCTGGTTTTCATCAGGATTGGAGCTGGGGCAGTAGGTATGCTGGGGGTGCCTTTACAAGTATTGAGGGCAAAGCATGATAAGCAGAGTTTTACTAGGAATTAAACCCCTTAGTGTTGTCCACCCAATATATTCTGGTCAAGCACTGGAAGGACTTGCGATAAGCAAGTCATAACCACTTGGCTCGGCAAAGCAAGGTTTTTTTAGGTTCTCAGTTTTCATATTGTTGTGGTTTTGTTTTTTTTTTTCTTTCTAGATGTCATTGTTAGTCCATTAAATTTACTTGGTAAAGTAGACTGCAAGCACAGGGAGAGTGCACAGGTCAAAAATGGTATCACTGGCAATTTCTGGATATTTTTTGCATGCTGAGCATAATTGGTAACCAGATAACGGATGTACTTGCTGTGCAGCTGTCACTTTGTCTGGGAATATGTGTGGGAACAAAGATTAGTAAATGCCCTGGCACCTCTTAAGAGGTGTATTTTGTGTAGATGGCTATTAGCAATTCAAAAGCTAAACATGGATCTAAGCAAGGTCACTGACTGGTCAGCCAGTTTATTTTTGACCTAAGCAGAGTTTAATTTAGGAAGCAGAAAGTCTGGGATAAGCAAGTACAAACCTAAATTGGCAGCTGTCTGCTGTGGGATATTGAAGCTGAGTCATCCTAAAGGGCAGCCCAGTTGTACCCTCATTCAAGAGAAGAGAAAGGTGAAGACCAGAATAAGAAAAAGGAATCCCCATGGCCCCCACAATGCTTTAGTTGTAGTCAACTCAATCCATTTCTGTTCCACTAGCAAGGAAAGAAAAAAGAAAAGGCAAATACAAAAAGATGTACATTTTAAATAAAATATGACTATATATGCATGCAAATTAGGTGAGACCCTTAGTGTGTCCAAGTTAAAGCAATGTTTTAAAAACTGTAATCTGGTTTTTGTAGAATTTCTTAATTCCATTGTGTGTTACAAATATATGCAGTGTGAATAAAACCTCAGCTTTCTCATAACAGCTCAGGAGTGAAAGTAATAAACAATCTTAGTATGGCTTTCTTATAAATAAAACATGCTACTCTGGTTTTTTGTAGGGTCTTTAAGTCCTCAGTTCTATGCTGGTGGCTGGAATAATTAGGTTCTGTTTTCAAGGTAGCGCTTTTTTTCAATATAAGTATGAATTTATCATTTTGAAAAAGGAAATTTCTTCTGCTTCAGAGATTTTTTTATATATATTTTTTTTTTGGTAGCTTGAGCCTCTGCATCACCCAGCTCTGCTTCTTGCCAAGTCTGGTTTCCTCGCCCTACACTACCATCAAAAGTGTGCTTTCAGGGAGGGGTTTCTGGCTGCCTCAGAAGAGTCACTGTCTTTTGTACTTTAGCTTAGGTTTGCCTGATAGCACTCCCTTTTCTACCTTGGGCACAGAGGTGCTGTAGCAACATTATCAAATAGATCAGGTGTGACAGAACTCCCCTAACTCTCTGTAAAAAGCGTTTTTGCCCAATTCCCTGCTGAAATATCGCTGAAGTGGTGTTTGACAGATTTGTGTAGCTATAAAAGCTCTCAATTGCTATTATTACACAGGTCTCTGGAAATATATTGATAGGCTTAAGTCTCTATACTTCTGATTCCACTCACTAAATACGACCCCAGTCTATATCTCTAGCTAACTACCTTTCTCCTCTTGTCCAGATTCATCTGTTAGTTTGACTCTGGAAAGGAGAGAAAAAAGACAATTGCTATTTCCTTGGCCTCAACACTAGCTAGGAAGGAAGGGTGGAAGGAATAAAATACTTCCAGTGTTCCAGGATATGAATCATAAAAGCTGAATTGGGGTACCTGCTTACTTTGTCGCTCATTTTTGAAAACAGGGAGTCATCTGAGCATGAATTGAAGCAGGCAGTTAATCTCCTATATAAAGGAAGCCATAGGTTTGATTTCTGATAGTATTTTATGCAACTTTCCTTCTTTTTCTCATTCCATTGACCTTTCTTTTTGCTGTGGCATTTAATTTACCAGTGGTGAGACATAAAGGCACCACTTGTTCTCAGTTGGTGAGCCCAGACTGCTGTGAAGCCCGTGTTCACATGTAGCGTGTGAGAATCATCCTCTGGCGACTTCTCCACAGCTCCTGACCTGCACCTGAGAGACCGGACACCCAGGCCGAGGACATGGTGTGATATCAAGGACAGTAACATGGAGCAGAGGAGAATAAGGTGCTGCTCATCCTTTTAGGCCACCAATACCTATGGGTGCAGTACTATGACTTGTTTCCTTGCTGCTTATGGGATTTAGAAAACTAGCGACAGGTGCTGACTCACATGGATCACCTCAAAGGTAACTTGGCTCTGGCAAAGCATAAAATTAAGCAAGTGTCTCTGCTTTGAAAGATGCATTGAGGCCCATAGATTACTTGGTCAGATGTGAGAGGCAGAAGCTGAGGATGTTTTAAGAGGAGAGGGACTGGATCAGAGCAATGAACTACCAGTTCTGTAGTCACAAGGAGCAAGGGTGGCAATGCCAGGGGAAACAGTCCCACAGGTTGTGGTGTCCTTAATCTTTCCTGCCTGTCTTTGCCCCATTATGCCACTCTGCAATTGCACACTTTCTGTGCTGAGCACAAATCGTACAGGACTGCCTGGATCACAGGAAGTTTAGTCCTCAAGTTCATTCACCAGGAACCAGAACAGCACTTTCAGCAGCTCTCAGTAGTCTTCAAACCTAGGGTAAGAAAACAAGTTACACCTGTATGTGCCATATACTTTTACTAATTCTTCCCATTCTGTGTCCTCCACATGTTTCATCAAACCAAAATTGTCTCTCTATTTTTCTGAGACAAATTGTGTTGGGCACAATGACAGGATGAGAAGTATTTTTTGGAAGTTTACTCATCTCTGTTTTTATTATTAGCCATTATGCACAACAGTTCTGGCTCCATTTTAGCCAACTCCACACCGTTTCTCCTTTCACTCTATGTTCTGTCATCTCTTGAAAAAAATGCTGCAGTCTTTGCCCACATTGTTACTTTTCATTGCCCCAGGACATCATAATGTGACTACCTTATTTGCACCTCTGTGATTTGTGGCTTCAGGATGCAGTTCATTTAAAGTTTGCTCATTTACTGTTCCTGCAGTATACTGCAACGTGGACTGGTTTTCTGGGCTCCCTGTTCTCCTGTTTATGGCGGTCTCATTTCACATGTATTCAGCATATGCTTTGGAACAGAAGGGAGAGGAAAGATCATTTGGGGCTTTTTCATAATTAACCCTACTCATCATATAAACTGTACTTATCTTATGTTCCTGATAGCAACCCACCAAGAAAATAGACCATTCTTATGTCAGTCCCATCCCACAGTAATCTCTGTAACATCCTCTGGGTCAGAGCTTTGTGTAAGCATCTGTTACTGTCTGCAGCAATTCCGGAAGCTGGAACTGGATGACCCAGCTTTGGCATTCAGAAAAAGGGGTTGGAGAAAAGCTCATTTAGTTCAGGGTTCACGCCAGCGAAAGTAAGCGACCTTTCAATGTGCTTGATATTATAAATGCTGGGTCTGTTGAAACAAAGCTATGACAAAGATACTATGATGGGAAAATCCAGAACATACAGAAATGCAAACTGTGCCAACAGTTGCCAGAATGCTATAGGCTTATTTTTACATACTAATAGCACTCTGACTTTGTTTCCCTTTCTTATCTATAGAAAATAAAAAACTCTTGAGGAGTAAAAATTTATGGCTAACTTTAAAAATTAATTAAGAATCTCAAGGAAATAGATCTGGGTATGTGAGAATTGTTTTATTTTCTTTTTTTTTTTTTTTTAAGAAATTTCAAGTGTCACAAAAATGTTTAAAGAAATTTTTTAATAAAAACCCTACAGAACAGCCCAAAGAGGTCTTTCTCTTGTTCAAAATGTGATTTCTGTTTTGGTTACTCTATGTGGATTTCTTTGGGTTCTGGTTTCTTTTATTCTGACTTTATATACCTGTATACTTCTACTTCTGTGGTAGTGTTGCTCAGAACTTGGACAAAGGAATGACAAGCCAGCTTCCCTTGTTTCCTGTGGCCTTGAGGTTCTCAATAATTTATTTTTCAAATTCCAGTGGGTAGGCTTAGTAATCTTTGGAGTTAGAATCAGTAGGATTTAAGCCCTAAAATTAAATGTACAAAACATCTACATAATTTAAGGATTCCATTATTATTTGCTTTGACTATTAAATTGATGAGCACTCCTTAAAATTGTATTTTGAATGCTTCAGTAAAGTTTTTTGGAACTTAAACATATCTATATTCAGAAACCTTGCCTGGTCTGTCACCATTTTTCACAGCAGAAGATTAGAATATATTCAGGTTCAGGAAAAATGATTTAGTTAAAGAGTAGTTTGAAAGCTCCCATGGCACTAGAGTCTTTTTCAGGGAGCATATTTTACAAATAGATGCTAAAGTCTCTTCTTTTGCTACAGCTGTATTTTGGGTTTTTTTGGCAGATGGGAATGTCTTTCATTTTGAAAAGTATGTAAGGACAGCTGACAAAAAGCCATCGATTCACAAACAACACGTTTCTGCAGAGTGCACTTCTAACCACACGTCTCCTTTTACATTTACATGCCAGGTATTTAAAGCATGTCTCCAAATTACAGGTACGCAGGAGCTTGCAACTTACCTAGTGGAGTTTAATGATGAAGAGGTGCTTCCTGTGCAGTTAAGGCTTTTCAGAGGACTTAACAGAAATGAGGTAATCAATCTCACTGCAACCCTTACACCAGGTAGGTAGTTAATTGAAAAGAGACAGCCCTGATGCTTTTGCAGCCACTGGAAGAAAGCCCTTTTTCAGGACAATATAGCATCCCTCAGGCTTGTGTCTTGGGAGATACCTGCTCCACTTACCTTGCTGTCGATGTGTGCTGCTTGATAGAGATAAAATTTCCTTCCCTGATGTACATTATTCAACTGTAAACTCTGCAAACTAGTCAAATGTGTTGTTCTGGCACAGGATAACTGGCTGTTATTTTTATTTTTTTTTTTAATGCCCAAAGTGGGTAGCTTCATTCTGGAACATGTTTAGTTTGTAGGTGACAAATGGTCTGTGAAACCCTCAGAGGCAACTCATTATAAATGAGGCCAGGCAGCAGAAGTCCCCATTGTTGCTCAGTGCGATGAGTCAATATAATTGGAACTATATAAATTGAAACAGAATTAGGATTTAGCAAGGTAATACTGAAAAAAGTCATGAAAATAAAACACCTTGCTTCAGCTCTTTCCAGCACCTTGAGGATATACTGCCACACTCTCATATGATTCTTTCTACATATGCTAAGTTTTATTTCTTAATGGTCTCTTGCTTCATTTTTCATCTTTGCCTAAGGAATGTGTCAATGTTTTGTAAGGGCTGATTTAATTTCGTCAGTTTTTGTTTTGTCATTTCCAAAGACACACAAGAAAGACTGCAACAGTTTGGAGCATTGTAGTATACCAGGCCTCATTGCTTCAAGAAAACAATAACAGAGGCAAAATTTTAAATCTGAGTCTGTAGGTTAATTTTGAATTAACTTCCCAAACTCTTTTTTACAAGTATTATTATACAGTAGTGTGCTCCCATTAAAGTTGGCTCACTCTTCCTTCCTTGCATACCAGGGGCATGCAAGGCTGGACCCTTTATGCTTTATAGATGGGAAAGACCAAGTCTGGAGTTAGCAGGCTCATATAGTTGGGTTTGGCTTTGTTGCACTCTTCATATCAGCAGTACACTGTGAAGAGAGGTCTTGCCAGTTTAATTCAGGTTTACTTTTCAATATTTTTCTCACAGAATCCAGCCAGCCTATAGTAACATTTATTTTACAGATGGTCAGTTTGATCTTCTGACTTTCTAATAGGAAAGTAAACCCATGTCTCAGTTTATTGTAATGCAGTTAAGCAAGTACAGCACAAGTCATTCTGAAGAACAGAGGAGATAGATGTTCCAAGTGAAAAGTTTAATAAAAGGGTCTTCATGGAAAATCTCTTGTAATAGGTTTTTTGTTCCTCTCAATGTCTCTGAAATACAGTATTTTCTTGATCAAGTTGTCTGTTTTTATGGAGGAACTACTATAATAACAGTAAGAGCAAAGAATATGACATTTAAATTGCTTTTAGAGTTAAAAAGGAAAAAGACACGGATGGTGTATAAAATTTTAAATTTCTCTATCTCAGATATTCTCCTCTGCTTCAATGTAGAGTCAAAAACATAAAATTATTTTCTTTACCCATTAGGTATGTATATTTTCATACGCTGAAGACTGCAAAATTGTTACAGCAGAACTGAATATTCCATTTGCATGAGCAACAGCATTTATTGCTCAACCTGGATAAGTGCCAGAAAGATCTCCACCATAACACAGAAAAACTATTGAGAAGTATTGAATGAACACGGTTCACCAAAATTTGCCTTAGATCATCAGAACCACATGCTGTTCAACTTCAAAGCGGCATACAAGGTACTCATTTTCAGCTTTAGAAATACATGAATAAATAAAATTCCTAAAATTTAATGTCTGTCTGACTTCCCCAGGGCTCTTCAATTCAAAATTAAGTGATCATCCTCTGAAGCAAAACCAGTGGAACAGAAAAGCAGCTAGATCTGAAGCCATCTAGAGCTGCTTCTTCCACGAAAATAGCACATTTCTTTGCGTATTTCTATGACTGCTTACTGACAGTGTTGGAATTCAGTGAAGTGGAAAGGAAACCCAGCAATGTGAATTTAGTACATAGTATTCAATTACTTAAATTTCCCACAATATGACATTTTGACAGAGGTTTCACTGGTTAGTGACTTCCTAAGTATCTTTAGGATGTTGGACTGATAATTAGAAAAATATTGACTTCTGTCACATAGGAAGCATAATGATTGCTAACACTTAGAAAATATTCTGCCCACTTTATTACTGCTTAAGTCACACAACAGGCTACAAAAGAGCAAATCAACTCAGATTTGACCAAGAAAGATCCAAAAGAGTGTAAACACTCAAGTAACTGCTAGATGATGAATGAACTTACAGAAACTGTACCATGAAAGAAAAATCACATGGTTGAGCCATTTTGTTTTCAAATTTGAATGGGTGAATGAAGGGGACGGTGATTGTTTCAAATAATACACATTAATTATGTAAAAGCCTGGCATGAAATGACCTCTGTAAGCAGAATTGTATCTACATATCATTACTCTCAAGTTCTTACTATGGGCAAAAAAGAAACATACATGATATGTAAAACCAATAATACTTTTAAGTCCAATTGAAATCCTAACAATCTAATTAAATAGTATTTATTACCCCAGATGACGCCATTACAGGGCAAAACAAAATAGTACTGTACAGAAAAAGTATAACATAAAGTTGTCATACACATACTTCCTAGTCTATGCTACTTTTTCTGATATTATGCTCAGTCTTCCATTGCCCATTGTGGTCCTAGGATTGAAGGTTACAGAAAGAAGAGGGGATCATACAGCTCAAATCCCTAGCCATGAAGAACGTGATAGTGTTAGTTTCTCCTTCCTCATCGTAGGAGCCTCTTGTAGTAATATTTATGTGTTTGATAACACGCCGTACACTGCTCGTTCTTTACAGATTAGTTCATGGTACAACTGATTTACCTTTATATAGTGCATTTCATGCAAGTTGGATGCTTGTTCTTCATTCTCTTTGCACCTGTAAATATGGTTTTGCTCAGCTCTGAGTCTGCATTTCTTCAACTGACCATTGGTGAGTTGTTTACACCGCTAGGGCCTCCAATGTCGCCCTGTGCCGCATCTCTTACCACCTCATGTCTGCATTTCTCTAGACCACATCCTGTGTCCCCACTTTTCAAGAGAACATCTATATACAACCATGGTTATACCATACAGAGATAAACAAAAATAAACCAAATTAGGCATAATGAAGTTGTCATTAGAAAAAATGCAATTATAGCTAAGTTGGGAAACTGTAGACAGGTCAAGAGAAGTTGAGCTTGACAAGCTGCTGTCCTGAGGCCTTGCAAACTCTACACTGCTGCTAGGATTGGTAATGCAGTATTTACTGGGCTACAGGGTTACACTATACCAGCTATGAAGTGATATATGTTGTCTTCCTTAGTAATATGATTCCAGTTAGGGACATTACTCTTGGAAACATTTTGGAACTAGTTCAGCTAGGTTTTCATATGTCATGTCATTTCTGCAGTACCATATTTTCTCTCATAGGATTTATGGTCCCAGATCCTGACTTTTTAATGAGAAGGCTGACAGCAGGTTTTGGTCATTGTGGATGAGCCATCATCTCTCACACTTCAAGTCATAGCACTTCATCTACCCTGAATGTTACCCATTCTGGCATCTGGAGGTAGTTCAGGGAATACAAACAGCAAGCTCCTCTGTGATGGGCTACTTTGAAGGTTTGCTTTCTTTTTTTTTAATGACATCTATTTGATTAAATTTCTCTTTTTACATTAAATGAATACAAGCTCAAAGAAATGATCGGGCATGATGAACGCAGTTAAGCATAGTATCCAGAAGAAATGAAAAATGTGGCACAGGTTTAGACATCAGGTCCCACGTTTACCATAATTTGGTAACTGCTTTGGCTTGCTCTCTCTAGGCTCCCCTCAGATATCTGCCTTCCAAGGAGAGTTCAAACATATTTCTCTAATTTAGAAGGTAGAGGGTCTAAAGTCTTGCACAAAAATCCCTAGGGCTTGGGAGGAAAGTAACCTCTCAATTCCTCAGTGGAGTCCTTTTATGTAGTTGTTTCTCCGTTAGCTAACTTCACGGTTGCTACAGTTGTAAATCACACCCAGTGAAAATATACATAGAAAGCAAATATTGAATGACTTTTTGTGTTTGCGATTTGCTCTGTTACTGTGTAAATATATTGCTATATAGGTACACATGTAGCTATAGAGAATAAAAAAGTTTAGCATCTTTTTGCAAGCCACAGCTGACAGCTAGTTCACTCAGATAAGGTCACTCTCATGATCTAACAATAGTGCATGGTTTTGTTCCATCTCTGCAAATATATACCAAACATTGAGGGCGTGCTCCTACTGGACCCAGACTAATGGTGAACTTAACTGAGTCACCCCATTATTTCTATCATGTTCATGGTTTCGGTTCCCAGGGCCTCATCCTGGTGAGAGCAAAACCAGATACATGACTGAGAGCCAGGCTGGAATGGGATCTTAACAAAAAAGATCTGCATGGGAAGCAGTGGAGACATACATCCTTATTTCATGCCCATGGAGAGAGTTGAGGACCCTTTTCTTTGGGCAGAGGATACAAAACCGTGTTGGGGACCTGGATGCCAGGTGAAGTTCTACTCTGAAAAATAACTTTGTAAAAGAAATTTCAAATGAAACTTTGCTTCTGGTTGCTCTGCAAAAAGAAATTAAGTGACAATGAAAAGCTACTGTTCCTGTAATGCTCAGCCAGACTCTTCACATTAGGGATCTGTTTTGGTTGTATGGTTTTAACATAGTCTTTACAAGTGGCTTTTACCTGCCTTCAGCGCAATTAGCAACTAGCCTTTTTTTTCAGAGCTAGTAAGCAATACTAGTGTATAGCCAGTGCCTTTGAGCAGTCTATGCTTCCTAGAGTTAAAAGCCAATATTAGAAATCCCTGTTTTGTCAGTTGATGTTAATAGGAATGATACAAAGTGCACTCAGAGAAGGATCTATTGTATAAAACAAAGCCTTTCTTATAGTCACTCCGGAGAACAACCCCATATGAGAAGAGTACTGTACTTTAAACCATTAAAGATAGCATCTTGCCAGGCAATGCAAGATAATGATAGCACATAATATTCCTCTCTTGCTGCCTTTTTCTCATATATTGATTGGTTCTATACTCTAGGTGTGACAGACCAGGGTGCTTACCCTCTATTCCTCTGAGCACTTTGAAGAAACTACTACATTTGTCAAATGACAAAAAGAATCACCTTGGAGAGTCAATTGAGAGACATCAAAAGCAACTGGAAAATCTGCAGTCCCAGGTGAGCTGTTACTTGAATATTATCTAGCTTTTGAGTCACCTGCGGTTTGTCTTTGAAAAGTTCTGCTGCACTCAGTCTGGATTTGAGAACTAAGCACTGGGGTCTTTTGTTTGTTTTCTGGGCTCCCTTCCTTTCCTGTCTCCTGGGAAGAACAGATGAAAAAGCAGTGTGGTTAAAGGGATTGTGGGCTATATTGTACTTGGCCTGTGGCAGCTATGGCGTTACTATTGCCTAGTTAAAGATTGCTTATGTAGAACTGCTTCATAAAAAAATCATAAAAAAACAAAACAACAAAAATCTCTAAATACGTCCATTTTCGAAATAAAATATGCTGACTATAAAAGCATTAAAACAATCATGCTATGTTTAAGGTATGAGTGTTTTTTTCAAGTTTGTCTCAACTCAGGGTTTTTCAGATAAGCATTAGGATTCTGGAATCATCTGCTGTAACCTCTTATCCAAATGCAAAGTGGAAGCTTATAAGACCTGAAATAATTACACATTTTTGCTAAACACCAACTTTGCTGGGAATGAAACTGAGAGTGATCAGTTTGAAAGAGGTACACTTTCCTCCTCCTATACCTGGAATATAGAAACCAGTGTTTGCTTTGAAGTAGTAATAAGTTTAGGAATTGCAGGTTGCTAGGAATAGGGTATGTCAGTAGTTTACAGGCAACTTTTTTGCTCAATGCCTTTAAGGAATTACCTTCCTTAGTCCATGGAAACAGTGGTCACGAGTGCAAATGCAAGTCTTTCAGGATCTTGAGCCTGGGCCCAGCATTTGGTTTCCAGGGAGAAATCCTGCAACAAGAATTGTTGCATTAGATCAAGGGGCAAGGGGTAAATAAACATCTGCTCTTCACAGGAATTTGCATCACAAAGCTGTATAGCTTAGTGCTTCTTCAGATGACAAAATGCTCATTCTCAGAAACAAACTTTTAATAATGTGAACAAGGACATCTGCTTGTTTCTGCTATATTTAAGGAACAGAAAACTATTGTTTGGTCAAGTTATCACTTCATGATACAAAATATCATTCTTTTCATCCTGATTTGCAATGCAATTGTCTTGAGGGAAAAGGAAATCATAAGATTTTCCATAACTATATTTAATGTCTAATTGCTGTCTTAACAATTGAAATTTTCCTTATCAACTAGATGTGCAATAGTAGCATAGTTCTAAAAATTACTTAGCATGTTCATTTTTAGACTACTGCATTACATCTTTCTGTCACATCATGCTCTTTATCAAATTATTCTACTATTTTCCACGAAAGGGCTTGATAGAGTTATTATTAATAATCAGAGATGAAGAAACAGTGCCTCACATGTTGTAATTTCTACCCTTTGTTTTGTAGTGATAAAAGGACTGGAAATGGCTTCGTGTTTTATTTGTCTTTATATCATCACAAATGTATTTTAAGCTGATTTCTGTGATACTCATAAAATAAGTCCTCATATATCCATTGTGCTGTTAGTTTACAGGCTGTGCAGCGTTGCAGCCCATGCACCCTTCTGCCCCATCCCTAGCAGCTGTATCATGCTGTGGTTGTTGGGTTTATGTGGTGGGACCACCCGCTCTTCAGCCGTACAGGGCTACACCTCCAAGAGTGTCAGTCTCTGTCATCCTGGCATGCTCTGGGCCCATCTACAATGGCCCATGTACTGGAGTTTCCTTCTGAAAGTGGGACCTTTTCAACCCTGAAGTTTCCAAGGTGGTAAGCGCTCTCTTTTCAAGAGTCTTATTCCATTTTGGGGGCTCCTTTGCCCTTTATCGGTGCGATATTTGAAGATGACAGATTTTGCACAGGATTTCTGAAATGTTTGCTTTATTTCCAGGTCTTTGAGGAAGTGGGAATTAAACAGTGTGCCATGGGTCCCTCACCACTTGGAGGCATTCTGCTGGGTATGGTTTGAAGTCTTCTCACACTCGCTTTCTTTCCTGACTCCATCCCCCAGTTATGTATCACTTCAGAAGATCAGACTTCTTGTTCACATCATAAAGTCTCCTCTCTGTTTTGCTGTTACCTCTATCTGTGGCTGATCCAGATTTTTGAAATTCTCCCTTTTTGCTTGTCCTCAGTTTCACAGCTGATGTGCTTTGTATCTCTGTAGTGAAATCTGTTTATCCGTTGCTTCATTGAATTTTCCATTCAAGCCACTACATTTTGGGGAAGTTTTGGTTTGGGTTTCACCACTGTGCTCTGGGCAATAACTGTTTTGTTTATTAAGGATTTCTGACCACAGTTTAAATTACAATCAGATGCTTGGACATATCTCAAGTCTTGTAAAAGCTACCAGCCAAAAGTATGATCACACAAGGATGGTCAGTAGTCGTGTGGATTTTTTATTGAAAAAATCTTTGATTGAAATCCCTTGCCAAATGCTTTCAGAAAAATCTAAATATAACTACATCCTCTCAATTTACCTTATCTTGGTGGTAATACCTTCAAAGGACTCTTGCAGGTAAGATAAATATTCTTTCCACTGTCCAAATGAATATGGAATAACACTTCAGTTGTGCATGTATCTTTTGGAAGTTTGAAAAATGTACATAATTTTATTGCAGCAGCTTTATACTGTCTATTATACTGCAGTCTTTTCAAGTAAAGCATCCTTGCTATAACTACAGTCCATTTTTTCAAAATTTGCACTCAAATTACAGAATCTTTCAAGGATTTTCAGGTGAAGAGGGGTTAAGCTCTTTTTGGATGCTTCTTGAACTTAAGTTATCTATCAAAGAATAATAAATTACCTTCTAAAATGTAATAATAGCACAATGCAGAAAAAAAGATGCATAATATATACTTCTCAAAATGCAGAGAGAGAAAGAGGAAGAAAGGGAGAAAGAAAGAGAGCAAGGAAGGAAGAAGAGAGAAAGAAGGGGAGGGAGGGAGGGAGGAAAGAAGGTCATTGTTAAAAAGTTTAAGTGATACTAATACTTTTTCCAGGAAGGAAGTATAAATGCTTTCATATTTTTGAAAATTTTTATTTATTTTCATGCATAAATATCACAGACAGAATATCACAGACAGAATCTTCTAGGTTGGAAGGGACCTTAAAGATCATCTTGTCCAACCGTCAACCTAACTGACAAAAATAGACACCCGCACAACAAACAAGGAGCATCATCACTAAACCATACCTCCCAGCACTACATCAACCCGTCTTTTGAACACCTCCAGGGATGGTGCCTCAACCACCTCCCTGGCCAGCCCATTCCAATGCCTGATAACCCTTTCAGTGAAAAAATTTTTCCTAATATCCAGCCTGAAAAAGGCGGCGGTGGGACTCGAACCCGATTGACCCTTGGACCGCGTGAAAGCGGCTAGCCCGCTCGGCTACAGGGAACCCACCCATATACTTCAGCTATTTATAGAAAATGTACAAAAATTTGATGTAAAATAATTCAGCTGAAAGTAGCTGAAAGCTGTTGCAGAAGTATGACATATGGCTTGCCCTATTCCTGATCTCCCTCAGCATTTTCTCATAGCACTTCTGAGAACAGAATAGGTGGTGAGATGGGCCCTTGGGCTGAACCACGTCACCAATTCATCTGTAGTATTTCGACTTCACATTTAGGAAATTGATGCATCCATTTATTCCATCAAGAACATATAAACATAATTTTATGCTGAGTGACCACTCTTACAAAGCCCATATTCCTTGTGCAAAGAATATTATGTGAATAATTTCTGCACATGACATGTTTTATACATATTAGAAATATGTATAAATATGGAAATATGTACATAGAATACCTCTTAAAGAATCACAAGGTGAGCTATAAAGTAGATGTTGAATTAGTGTTGTCTGTGATAATTTATTATGCAAACTGCTAATACTAAAACATATTACTATTCCCATTTTTTATAATGATTTTTTTTTCAAGAAATTTGCATTCTGTTCATCTTGCAGTCTTGTATAGTCTAGTTAACACTCAACCTCAAGACCTTTGAGAAACAAAAAATGGTCATTTCATATTCTCATTTCTTGAGTTTCTTAAAAACAGAAAATATAGAGTTAAGGTGTTCAGTGATGTCCATTGATGCTAGCCTGAATTGTCAACAAATGGTAGAAATTACACGCATGTATGGCTGCCCTGCACAGGGGTGAGGGGAGCTGATATTATGTCACCTGAAAATGCCCAGGATGCATCATCTCAAAAAGAGCAGGTGTCCTTAGTTGAAGTGACCTTTTTTCTCCACAGGCTTGTAAGGGTAGTTAGAAGTCATTTTAAAAAGGGGTTTGCAGCTTATTTCTGTAGTTATTTCTTTGTGTCACTACATCAGGGGGCATATTGAAATCTGAGCATTAACTTAAAATGTCAGTTGCTAACCTTTTGAACAGTCATTCAGCAAGCCTTTACCATTTAATGACAGGCATATATAATTAAGTGCCTAAATTTCATGCACCTTTTTCCTAGAGGGCTTTTTCATTAGGACCACAAACAGTTCTTCGTTGTGGAGGCAGCAAAGCTCCAGGAACAAATGTCTTTCATTGTTTGGTTTCATGCTTTCTGACAAACACCTACAAAAGTGCTAGAATAAGAATGAAAATACTCCATGCACGCAGTCAGTTTTTGGCTTTACATCATAAAAAATAGAAGCTTGTCTTCAGAAAAAGTCACATTTCGTCTTACGGAGACAGTCTACCTGATTGGAAACCCATTTAGCATTAGCGGGCAACTAGAAAAGGTCAAACTTTGAACTTATTCATGAGTTATACTGTAAAATCAAAGACAGACAATTCTTAAATGGACTGACCAAAACAGGAGAAGTGCAGGTTTCAGCATAGCTGGCCTCTTTCCTTCTCTAGGGAACAAGTGCATGGGTACAAAAGAGTGCAGCAAAACTAATTTTCCTTGAGGGATCAGTTCTGTCATTTCTGTGCCTAGACAGCTGTAGGGAAAAAAGGCCACATGCCAATAGCAGGCTCTGAAAGGTGCTGTACTTCAGCACCTTTTAGACTTCCATCCCCAAAGAACATTAGATCACCTAGATGACAAACATACTCTTCCCTTTTAGAACCATGGGGAGCATCCCCATGCTCCTGAGGTACAGCATTGCAAGCCTCATTTCCCTCCTTACTTTAGTTCTGTGTTTGTAGACCGTTTATTTTATAACCCTGCAATTTCAAGTGTGCTTTCAGAAACATTAAAGATTGTGCAAATAGTGTTAACAGTGATTCATCGGACCTAGTTTGCAGTGGAATATTTATCCCTTCTTTGTGAGCCCTGTTACCTCTGTGTGATGTCTAACGCACACAGCTAGTGGGAATGTGTGTGCAGATGAGAATCACACAAGTGTCCCCCAGCAGCCTCAGCTGTCTCCTGTCCTGCCATTTGAGTTGTGTTTTAACGCAGCTGCCTGTGGGCTCTATAACAACTCGCTGCTGTGCCACCATGGTAGCAGCTGCTTTCTTCACTAAAGCTCTGTGGACTAAATACCAAGACATTAAGGCAAGATAAACATCAGAAAGAGGTTTGTTATATAGCAGAGGCTGATGTGAGGGGGCACCAAGTACTGAATCTTGCTTGCTTTAGACACATTACAGACCAAGTTTCTTGTGGGAGGGTTTGTTCTCTGTATTTTTAAAAGGGTCCTTGCCCCCGCCCCTCAAAAACACCTTAAAATGCTGTTGGAGTATGTATAGTAAATGATTTTGTGTTTTCCTTTCCGACAACATAAGAAACCTTATTTCAGGTTCTGAGGCAGTTTTTAAATAAGCAAGGAATCTAAGCTTTTCCCCAGGGGATCTGCATTTGTGTGCACTGGCTACAGTGTCACTGAAACATGTTTT